GAGAAAAGCTTAGAAAAATGAACCCTGAATGACCTGGCATTCAGACCAATAAAAAGCGCCTGGCATCCGTTGTCACGTAAATAACGAGCTTTTAAAAACAAATATTGCGCATTCCAGCAGTGCTGAAAACTTTTGTTTGTTAAATCTGGTTCTCCTGCAACCTGGACGACTGGGATTGAGACCTGGCACCTGCCTTTCCTGGCTTGCAAAGCACTATCACCACCCTCCTCCTCCTCGGAACTGCCAGTTCTGGAACAACTTTGCAACGCTGAGAGCCGCGGTTCGGGTGCTGAAGGTGAGTTGAATGCCTCTTCGCTTTGAAGGCGTTTCATGGAGAGCAGTTCCTGCTTTCTGCATGCCCCCTGGCCCCAAATCAAAAGGTAAGAGGATGCTTTGGCACGTGGGTCTGGTAGCTGGGATTTCCCATTTAGCTTCGCACACCAGGGATATGTCTAACTCCAGGCTGGTGACGCAATGACTTTGGGAGCGATACACTGAGCTTAATTATGGCATATTATCCAATAAACGTTAATATAAATGTAACCAAACTTGTGTGGGCACTTTTTCTGGAGTTGCATGTCAGGGGTTAAGCGTGGAGAAGTCTTCTTTCCTGCCCAGAGCTGGCGTATTTTTGTAACACCGTAGTTTTCAGTAAGTTTGTACTGAGAAAAGTGCTTGGCTAAGGCTTTTACTGGTAAAAATAAACAAACCAAATATGCTTGGCTCAGATTTTTACTGGTGTCAGGAGATGAAATACTTTCCTCAGTATTATGCTGCAAGCAAATATATATCAAAAAACTAAATTCCTTGATTAATTAAAACACATCATACATTCTACTGGAGAAAAATAGAGCATTGATCCCCAGAAATCTTTATGTGAAGAGATGATGTTTTCAATTTGCGATAGCCAGCACGTGTGGACACATCCCAGGGGAGGATGGGGCTGGGCAGAGCTGAGGCAGGAGGGTCAGCCAGAAGCGCAGGCAGGCTCCTCTGCAGTGGTCTCCGTTTGGATATGTGATGCCTCATTTAGAAGATACACGAGAGAACTGGGAGAAGAAAGTAGGGGATCCTGTTCTTAGCTGCTGCAAAGTAGGAGGCCTGTCGCACTTGCACTAGGGTTTTGAGAACCAAGGGCTAGCTGGCGGAAGATCAGGGACCAAGTGTCTCATCCATCACTACTGGGCCTCAGGTTCATGTGTATTTGCTGTCCGGTGAACCTTAACGACAGCTGTTGGAGCTGTGCGTTCCTCAGTGCCCTCCCACGGCTGCCAGAAGCACTTGTCCAAGCAGCAGTTGTCTCAAAACCTTCTGTCTCATTCTTCTAAATCATCTTTGTGTCCTTGGTTTTCAGGTGGCACTGCACAGCACGAGGGTTGGGACCTGCTGGCCATCCGCTTCGGAAGCTCTCTCCAAAATGCCTGGTCCCCAGGGCTCCCACAGTGGGCAAAGAGGTCCCAGGCTGCAGTTGGAAGACGAGACGTGGCAGCGGGCTGACGCTGTGAATATACCCACTATCCCACTGCGTGCACCAGTGAGCGAAACCGGCTGAGTGCCAGCGCTTATTCAGTAAACTGCCATCCCGTCACTGTCACCTCCTGGCAGCGGAGGACACCCCGGTAAACTCAGCGTTCTGTGGGGCACAGTGCAATGGGGGAAGGCAGGGGGTCAGCGGTTTGCTGCACAGACTTTACAATGTAACTTACCAGGAGGTGAAATTACTGCTGATTCCAAGAGTAAAAGCACCCCTGTTAATAGCGCAGTTACTTCATGCTAAAGGATTGCATCAGGTGAACGCAGATCTCTATGTTCCTACCAGCTGGCTTACTGTAAAAGAAACCCTCCTGCAAGGCAGCCCTGAGAGAACAGAAGTTGTCCACAATGCTAAAATTTAACACTACTTTTTCTCAAAACTTCCTCCAATTTTAGTTTCACCTGGCCAGATAGCAGAAATCCAGATTGGCTCTTATTAAAAACATCCCATGATTTATAATTGCTCAGAATTCCCACTGCCAGGATGCTTGGCAACAGTTACGCTGAAAAAAACTCAAGCCCTAAAGCTGGCGCTGAGCAAAGTGCTGGACCTGAGGGGAGAAGACACCAACAGCTCTAGGGACAGGCAGCACTCAGCCGAATGCTCCCGTCCAGACAGGCAAAACTCCCACATAAATCAACGTAATCTTAATGACTGCTTATTATCTACTTGCAACATACACATTGCAGGAGAGGAGCCGCCATTCGTAGGATTGCCCCAGTGTTACGTTCCCAGGATTTATGGTGCTGATGGGTGGTTTGTACCTATTTCAATTTAAGGAGTGTAAACGCATTGTGAAAATAAGTAGGATCAACACAACCCCTGCAATTTTGCTTCAGCATACCTTAAATGCCATATAATTACATATTCTTCTAATTCGTATTCATGCATCACCAAAAAACGCATTTACTAGCACACTTTTGTTAGGCAGGGACAGTTTGGAGGATGGGGAAGAAGCGGGGCTGCCTGCATCCCTGCCTGCCTCTGTCCACCCCAGTTCTCGCTGGGCGACAGCCGCGTGAGGAAATCTCGCCCCGACGCCACTTCCACGCAAAGATACCGCCGTGTGCTATCAAACTTACAGGATCCAGAGAAAAGAAAGGAAAGTAGAAGTTTAGGACTTGAACAAGTGAAGCTACTTTTGAGTTACGATGCAGAACCCACCTTTTTTTCTTTGTCTTGCTAATATAATTTCCAAATCGATTTTTAGACTTCCGGGGGGTGGGGGGAGGAAGATGTTCAGTGTTGCAAGACTCAAATTTTCTGTGGTAGTCCAAAATTTTCTGGCTAACTTCCACGCCTGCCGCTGCCGGGGTGCGGTTACCGACGGGAACTCCCCGGCCC